TGCACCAGCTGTTATTATATGATCTAATTAAGTGCGTTTGACACCGCTTCAGTTCAGCTCCATCTCTCCTAAAACTGAAATCTAACCAAACGGTTTCATCTCCACCTAAAAAAAAGTAGAGCTAGTTGAAGTGCTCCCACAAAATGAACTGAAAGAAGCTGGGCTTAAACAACTTTACAACTCCACTCCATACCTAAATGCTGGAGTTAAATTTAGAAATTGGAGCCCTACCAAATGGGCCCTAACTTTTCCTATTTATGAACGATTAACTAATTGTAAACCAAAAACATTCTACATGATATTAAGAGATATGGCATGTAATTTTTTTTGGTAATTTTGGTTGATTTGTTGATCTTTGTGACATGTATAATTTCTTCGAATCACAACACAATAAAATATTGATTGGTTGATTTTCACTATGGATCTAACTTTTATAAATACAATCTTTAGCGAGGATCTTCCAGCTTTTTACATGAACTATACAATATGATGACGGAATATATTGTTTTGAGGTGGTTGTAAACATATTTTCATATCATATTCATGGAGTTTATTTATATATATCACTATACCACATAATGGTTGTACACTAATATGTCATTCTTTCGTCCTACCTTTTTTCTACATCTTGCCATATTTTGATCATCCCATCTTTCCACTCAGGCACCTTGCGTTCATACACAAAAACCTCAATTTCAACTCAAAATCATAGGAGAGATTTCAATCGGTTGCTAGATTGGTGGGTTGAATGATTCAAGCATCAATTGGCCGTGGTAACGAAGATGCCAACTTAGATTTCAGCGATTTCACTATCGTAGCTAGGGTTCATGGTCTATTTATTGATGGGTGATGGATCTCCGGTGGTGATATGGCATATAGAGGAGGTTGCGTCAACAAGGAGCTTTCTTTCCCTTGGTTGAACACGGAATTCATGCGTCATAGCTAGAGCGTAAAATGAATATTGCAATTTGATCACCTAAAGCTAGTACTACACACCAATGGAGTCATATTACTTGCAAAATAATATTTGGCCGGGGCAGTTTAGTGCCGCGGGTATGAAATTATACATCTAACTGAAATAGACACAAAGTCGTCCAATCCTTGTCTTCTGAGGTCCACCCAACAGTCTCAGCTCCAACGCCGTTCGACTTTGGAGCTCTTTAGACATGTGTATATGCACATCTTCATGTGATGCAACTGGCAGTGTCTAGCTACTACATGTTAAGTTTAGAGAAGTTCTAGAAGAGGGGTTAAAGAATTGTGGCAATGAAGGTTCTTGCATTATGCCAGTTGTCAAAAAGTGACGGTACCAGTTCTCCTAAACAATGTTGGATGAATACTCATATTTTAAATGGCCCAACCGATTGATCTGATCTGCCTAGTATAGTCGTCACATTGGTTACTTGACTAGTCTTGCCTATGTAAAAGGAGATCCTTAGTGCTAGTTATTAATTAATATACCATTACATGTTGCTCAATATTTGTTAGAGAAAGCTTTTAACAGTACATATATTGGACTAAAACAGCGATATAACAATATGCTATATTAAAAGTTTAGGTGATGTATATTTTGAAACATTTTATTCTAATAGCGGTATAGCTAGTTAAACTCATGTGTTAAGCATGTCATGTAACTTTTTTTTTCTGAGGTTAATTTGTGTGGGTCGCTGTGCTATACTGCATGTTTATTTTGGCGTGGCCCTCATCGCCGCGCCTCACGTACGCTTTCCCGAGCAAGCATGATGAACAAAACATTATTAGAAGCCATTGCTATGTAGCTATCTAGACTTTCTACATACTGGGCTATTCCATCATAATACAAAACATCATTAGAGGCCATTGCTTATAGGCTTGTCGTCTGGCTCGTAAAACAAATACGTACTCTACCTACACTTCAATAGAAATTTGGTGTGTGTGGGGGTTGGGGCGAGGGGGGAGGAGGAGGGGGAGGGGGAGGGGGAATCGTATTAGGAGTCAAACAATCCATAAGCGTATTAGAGCAAGTACAATAGAAGGCTATATATAAGCTAGTAGCTATTAGCACATATGGAGGAGAGAGAAAAAACATGTTACAGATTTATAGCCAACTATAGCACGAACTTCAGGATATAGCACGAACTTCAGGATGATGTGTGTACAAAAGGTGGCTCAAGTATTAATGGTTTAGTATATATTTATATAAAACTATTGTATGTGTAGTCTATTAAATAATTAGCTGTAGATGATATGTCAATTTTTAGAGCTACTATACTATTAAACTTGCTCTTAGCAATACTTAATATAACAAAAATATAAAAGTGAATAATAAAGTACCTTTTACTTTTGCTATATATATACTATGTATCCCATGTTCTAAAGTAGACGCCATTGTAGATCATATGTGTATAATCTTTAACATACTAAAATATGTCAATACACCAGATTCAATATATGCGAAAATGATATTATTAGGGCACGTTCAATGGTAGAGATAAGTATAATCTCTTTGGCAATATAATATTATTTAGATCCTGCTCACTCCGTCCTAAAATATAAGCATTTCTAGCTATGAATCTGGACAACTATGTGTCCAGATTCATAACTAAAAGTTGTTATATTTTAGGATGGAGGTAGTATATGTTTACAACAGTTGAGACAACAAATACTCTAACCATTGCATTAACTAAAAAAGTATTTAAATAATTATTCTTTTCATTTCTTCACTCTCATGCAACCATGTTTCATATTATAGAGGCTAAGAATCATTGTTGAGCCGTTGTTACCAAAGCAATGATGTTTTTGTCTCTCCTCTTTCTCTCTCTCTTTCGTATCGACAAATATTCCTAATTAGCAACACTAAGAGAATTGTACATACCTTTAGTGGTTCTGTCATGCAAAGTACTTTGGTGCAGTCATTCTTTTACGTATAGAATTAAATATTTCTTTTCCACCATCTAAAAATCGCATGTGTATGCTTCTCTCGATTGATTTTATATGTACACACATATAATATCAGACATTTAAGCACATGGCAACTTAATTAACACTAGCTAATTATGCAACTGACCGCCTAGCTGCTATGTGTGATACACGACATGTCGCCATATATAGGACTATGAAACGAGCGTCTATCTCTAGTCCACTAATCGAGCATCCACCCCGGCCGGTTAATTAGCTAGGTCATTTTCCCCCTCGTGCGAACTGAAAGACTAAACGTTTTGATGTTTGTATATATAATTTGCGTGTTCTCTTCTTTTCTCTCAAACTGATGTGGCACACCACAATATGTTGTAGTATGTACGTCTCCTCCGTTGCATATTTTTTTTTGATAAAAACTACGGCGGGTGTTGTCACCGGCCTGAACATTTATTGATATGGTAAAAACATTAACAAGAGGAGATTACATGGGACAGGAGAGAGAGAGAGAGAGAGAGAGAGAGAGAGAGAGAGAGAGGGCATTTTAGAAGCTAATTACAGCGAGAGGTTTAGCGCACAAATGTGGAGTTGTTGCTTGCATATGACACTACTACACCGGTGGGACCACAGATCAATATCGTTGGCACAACACCGAAGAACTAGTGAGATGGTGTCGTCTAGGGAGTTGACGATCACGTTTAAACACACTTATGTTTTTACTCGCATAGGTTTTTTATTCAACAATTAATATGTTTTTTTAATTTCGAAGCACAATGCAATACATCTATATATAGGGAGTATTATTCCCTGGCACACTTAGAATTGGAGGTTGTTTCCTTCATCTATGCAGACAAATTTTGATGTCGGCCTAGTATTTTTTACCTAACTTGTTATGGAAGACCATATACTACTATGTATAATCATCTAGCTAGTTGGATGAGATACACTTGATAGTGCAGTGGTAATGTGTGTGGTTTCAACCGTAAGCTCTCGTGCTAAATTCCAACATGCTCATAATTTCTTAAAAAAATGTTTGGAGAGATGTTTCTTCCTTCAAGTCTTCTTTTTTCTTATCCAGCTGGAAACGGAGTAGTACAGTAGTTTTTCATTTATCATATGTGTGCATGCCAAATAATCTTGCAGTGCACACCGCTTTCGACGCCGTCCGAGAAATGTCCGGTTAAATCCGCACAAATATACAGTGTCTGCATCAAATGTAAAGTAGCAGCTATAGTTGGTGATGCAGTACCATTGGCGATCGAGATACTTAATTAATTAACTAGTTGGCAAATTGTCTAAACAAATGCTTTATGCGCTTCATTTGTCAGTCTTGTTCTCCTGCTTGGAGGTGATCAAACCCTAGCTAACTTTTCCATTTTTATTGTGCAATTTGGCCTCCCATTCCGCATACTTTTGCCATATACACTGAACCTCTCCCTGTGGGGGCGCCGCATGCACCAAGAAAATTTAAAGTTGTCCATCTCTCTCTCTCTCTCAATTTGTTTCTCTCTCTTAGCAAGCTACTAGACACACACCAATGCTAGAAAAAGGCTTGTCTTTCTTTCTCAGCTGCTTGTGCATCTACTGTTAACTGTACACACACATTAACGTGGACAAAGAACAACTAGATAAGGTCATGTGCATCAGAGAGAGAGAGAGAGAGAGAGAGAGAGAGCTAGCTAGGGACAGTCAGATCGAAATCTTTTCAAGTTCCAACTTCTATGTGAACCCCTTTACCTTGGAGGAAAATTTTCTAGTACTGGATTTAATTAATTTCTTTGCCTTTTTTTTTTTGGTTCTGAGAAATATATCCAATCAAGCTCAAGTATTTAGTCAAAATCCCATAGAGTTATATTTTGGTAATTTATCAGAAAATTTGATATGTTTGCTATGTGGAAACAAATATTCATCTACATATGAAAATTTAAGTGTGTGCATCTGCATCATATATATATGAACTCGGAATTATTTCTGTTAACAAAGAAATTCGTCTATATAGTTCCTGTATCATAAATAGCATGCATGCACATATGCATGACGTACACGAATCCCTTTCAGGTGCTATATATCGGTATCATAGTCACGCAAGCATACATCAAACTCTCTATACATGGAAAATATTGATCTCAAACTAAAAAGGATAAGAGATGAAAAGAGAAAAATGAATATGACAGTGTATAGAAAAAAAAGAACAGGTGGATGATTATTACATCGATGTCTCCAATATTGGAAGACATCAAATACACACTAGCTAGCTCCTATGAATTAACACCTAATTAATTGACACTTATGACCGTCAAAATACTCCTCCTGATCCATATATATATATTTCTCTATCAGTATATGTCCATTGGAAATTTGATCACAAATATTTAGGTATATATTGATCGGTCATTGAGCTGCTACTTTAGTTGAGATCGCCAAGCCGAGCTCCACCGGCTTCTCCTTCCGATGATCGTGTTGCTGCTGGCTGCCGCCGTCGCTGTCCGCCGGCTCGGTCTTTTGCACCGGCGGCGGCGGCGGCGGTAGACCTAATGTGAGGTCTAGGCCGGCGTCGTGCACCTCGGTCGCCGCCGACGTCGCTCTCGGCTCCGGCTCCGACTGGCTGACGTGGGAGCCGTCCACGGTGTCGGCCGTGTCGTTGCTGTGGCCCTCGCTCTCCGGCGGCGCGGCGTCGTGGCTCGCCGACTCGTGGCTGAGCGCCCCGGGCGCCCAGTTGAGCGGCTGCGCCTGCCTTATCACATCGACGGCCATGGCGGCGGCGGGCTTGGAGAAGACGAGCTCGAAGGCGGCATGGTCGGACCTGTGGGCGGCGGCGGCGCCGCCGCCGGGCCTCTTGAACTTGGCGCGCGAGCTGATGTCAAGCCGGTGGAGGTCGGCAACCGGGCCGGCCGCGGCGCCATGGACGTCGCCTCTCCTGGCGCCGACGTGGCGGATGTCGCAGGTGGGGAGCGGGGGCACGGCGGTGGCGGACGGCGGCGGCTGCGCGATGGGCATGCCGCGGAGGACGGACTCGACGGCGGACTGGCAAAGCTGCCAGTTCCCCGACCAGAGGAGGCCGACGGATCCGTACACCGGGTTCAGCATCCGCCCGCAAGCCTCGTACAGCAGCGACCGGAATATGGCTGCACACGTACGCAACCCAAGAGTCAGAGAACGAACTCAAACGCCATGGCCATGTAGCTAGCTAGCAACAAGGGCTAAGCACACGTACCAGGACGGACGTGCTCGGGGCCGGCGGTGATGAGGTTGATGAGGCCGGCGCGGCCGTAGAACTTGGCGAGGAAGACGGTGGCGTTGGCCTGCGCATCGGGGCTGCGAATCCACTGCAGGCAGGGGCGGATGGCGCAGTTGTCGCTGCACCCCTTGCGCAGCACGCGGCACCCGTTGCAGCTCATCCGCATGATCCTCGCAAACTAACCCGCGCGGCTCGCCGGAGACGACGACCGGTGAGATCGAGCTAGCAATGCCGAGCTAGAGGTAGAAGAAGGAGGAGGAAATGGTGGTGGGTGTGTGGGCGGAGAGGTTGGGTGTATATAAAGCATTGGGAGGTGGAGCCGTGGGTTAGCTCGGCAGCGGACTGGAAAGCCTCCGGTTTCCCTGGGAGTGGAAAGCTGGTTTTCTCCCCTACATGTGATGTTACCCTAATGCCCCTCACTTTTCCATCTCATGATCTCTCTAAGCTTCTTCTAAAACTTATAACTAAACTTTAATTACTTAGATAATTATATATACATACTAGGTATGTGATGGTGATCGATCTGGCTGACCAAGTGGTCCTAGGTTGAATTAACTTGGTTATAATTAATATATATATATGGGAGTTGAATATATATTGTGTACTTGCCTCAAAAAGAAAGGGATCTGACAGAAGGTTCTGACTAATTAGAAACCCGGTATTAGGAGGAAAAAAAAGAAGTCATATGTTTACTCCATTCAAGCTATAGTAGTAGTACTGCTATAGCTGTTGCAATATGCTGACCTAGCTCGGAATGTATATATGACATGAAAACCACCTCAGTGTAGCAAACAGAAAACTAAATAGATAAGTGTAACGACTCTAGAACGAAGCTTAATTTACTTGATTAGCTGTGGTCTTGTCAAATCATCACCTTACTTCTCAACATTTAGTTGGTTTTGACGGTTTCTCCGCGAGGGATAACATGCGCGTTTGCTTTTTCTTCTTCTAATATAATATCCCCTATGTTATAATTATTCAGTTTTATAAGAACAAATCAACTAAGTGTGTTCTTGAAAATTCCAACAGTAGTAATATAGTAGCTACGACTCTCACTAGCCTTGAGCAATAATTAGGGCTTGATTTCTAGGTTTGTCTCTTTAATATCTTTTACGATCCTATCTAAAAATTTTGGAAATACACAGTAATTAAGATGCCCTATAAGCCCTATATGCTTGGCTCATTATCTTGGCTTAATTCACCCCCTGGTTTGCTCCCTGAAATTAAGAGTGAACATACCTCAATTAGTGTATAGTGACATGTTTCTCTTAGATAACTCCGCGAAGATGAATGATTCTTCCTCCCGCTCAACCTTTACCATAGCTCTAGTTGACATTGTTTATGGTCGAGACAAGTACGGTATCAGATCTCCAAGTTCATACCATCCTTTAATTATTGGACTTAATTGTGTTGTGCTTGATCTATCTTGTTTTCCTTTCCTCAAGACTCAAGAGAGATAATTTCCTTAGGATCTTGTTAGTCTCTTGGATCACACTTATTTGACCATTGCATTTTTCTGATTATTTGTTATTGGATAAATTCCTTATTGATTTTGGGCATTAACATGGACTCATATATATACACCTGTATTAATTTGGCCATTAACCACTTCCCTAGTTGTATGTTTGTAGCTAGAAAAATACTAAATATTTCCCGCAAAAAAGAAAAAAAACTAAATATGATGATACCAACATATATATTTTTAATGATAAACCTAAAAATCATTTCTTCTATGACAAAAGAAAAATTTTCTGTCTGTGCTTTGCTGCAGATAAAATGTATTTTTCGTGAAATGTTCTACCTGTCGTTTTGCTATGGAAACCATTTATCTTAATTTGATTCTAGGAATCACTATCCATTTAGATTGATTGTTTTTAATATAGAGTTCAGGAGGTGATTTAAAAATTTACAATAGGAGTAGTTGGGGTGGTAGATTCACTACTACCACCACTAGAGCCTTTTAAAATAGTATATATAGATGAGCGGAAGAAGTTCAAATATTGATGTTGGATAATAAATATATAGTCGCAATGCTAATTAAGTAAAATAATACGTATGAGAGCAGAGAAAATGTCAAAACATATATATATATATATATATATATATATATAGAGAGAGAGAGAGAGAGAGAGAGAGAGAGAGAGATATAGATAGACACACACACACACACTTCCTGAAAGTTTTACAAGATCGATTTCATGCATATATCCTAATACATAGTAGAAACAAACAAAAGTGCACCATACACGCACACACACTGGCAGGCGCATCACATTAATATAATACACATGCTCAGAGAGACGGTATGCAAAAGAAATTCACTAAAGTCACTAAATGTAGGAAATGTTTTCACCCCTCGAGAGGATGTCTTATCGTTTCTTGCATGCATGCCACCTAAAGAGTTATATTTCTTTTAAAAAAACACAAGATAGATTAATATGAAATATATCACTACACAAACATGCAAGCTCAAATTCGACTTCCAAGTTGTTACAAAAATAACTGCAAAGTGTACGTTAACTAGTTGCAGTTTAATTTGTTCTTTTTACAACTTGTGAAAGTCGAATTTAACCTATGCATGTTTGTAGAGTGATATATATCGTATTAACCTATATTGTCAAAAAAAATATGTTTTTTACTATTTAGGTGACATGTAGGAAAAAAGCTAGCGGATGTCGAAGGATGAAAATCCATATCACTAAATTTCTACTGAAACCACAACAACAATTGTGTAATATCTGTTGGTACTTGGCACCTTGAATGGAGTCATATGAAGAACTTCAGTCAATCGGTTTTGTACAATGCGATGAATACATCCAAGCAAACAGGAATTGTGGAGAAAAGGGGATTATGACTGAAAAAAATTCAGACAGTTCGATGGTGATGAAACCTAACTGTCATCAGCATGCATGCATGCATGGAAGGGCACAAGCTATATATCATCATAAAATAGTTCCAGATGGAACCACATGGTATCATGCATGCATATGCATTACTAGCTAGTTACAGCATTAAGCAGCAGGCAAGAAGGCAAGGGCAATTAGGTCAAGCAATCCGAGGATAGCATACTAATTATAAATCCGGTGCGTGTGGGGGACACATGACAGCGCGTGGCGGTGGTTGTCAGCGTCGTCATCGCCATCCATCGGCGGGCGAATCGCAACGCTCGTTTCCGGGAGGAAGTGCACGCGGCGAGAGGAGGGCGGCCCCCAGCGACCTGGGCGTGGGGCCCCCACGGTATAGTCGTACGAGCTATAGCTAGGCTTAAGTGGGCCCCACGCACTGGCTGGTGATTGGTGGAGGTGGTCGTCGTACGTCGTCGTCTTCCTCCTCGCGCACAGCCACCAACATCTGTGGGCGCTCGAGAGAGCCGATTCGATTTCCATGGGCGGTTTTGCTAACCCTTTTCTTTTCCTTTTTTTTCGATCCAACTTGGTAGGAGGCAGCGAGAGTCTCTGCCGTGCAAATCATATCATATGCTTCTGTGGGGGATAGCAGCTGCTAACCATTCATGCATCTGCCCTCCTCCGATCCCAAATGCTATAGCTGCGTGAATCATGATCCAGTTTTACGTGCGTTTCAGTTTGGCACGCTTATTTTATGTTGGGAATCAAGCTAGTACCTAGCTTTGATACTCCCTCCGTTTCAAAATGTTTGACACCGTTGAATTTTTAGCAAATATTTGACCGTTTGTCTTATTCAAAATAATTCGTGAAATATGTAAAACTATATGTGTACATAAAAGTATATTTAACAATTAACGAATCAAATGATATGAAAAGAATAAATAATTACTTAAATTTTTTTAAATAAGACGAATAGTCAAACACGTACTAAAAAGTCAACGGTGTCAAAAATTTTGAAACGGAGGGAGTATATAGATAGATCATAGGCCTACGACAGTTTAGGTTGAGAGCTCACATCACCGGCAAGTTGAACCTCCCTAATTAGTACCGTTTTATATGTGTGTGTCCTCTCTCTGTGTTTAATTAATTAACTTTGTGTAGTACTAAGAGAAATTAAGGGGGTCCCCGTACGCCATGCATCTCCATTGGGGAAGCTATATAGTTACAACTTAAAATGGAGAATCCTAGGAGCGGTCGTACGTTAATTTCTCTTGTTTAATTGTTGCCCTTCATTAATTAATTAACAAAACCAAATGTTTTTCTTATGCTAATAGCTTGCTCGATCACACTGTACGTATATATACCAACGATGTCATTGTCGAGTTCTTATAGCTTGCTAACTAGCTTCAAGTGGTGCTTCCCACTCCTAGCTAGTTGCATTTCTCAAAAATACTAACAAAGACTACATGTTCACAGTGTAATTTGTACGTTGTTTTCACTTACCTCATCAAGCTTCAATTTCGCGCCGTCGTTTATCTAAAAAACGATATGACCATATGCGGCTGATTAATTGAAGTTTTTACCGTTCTTTACTTAAAAAACAATATTCAAGACATTAATTACTGATCAAGATTAAACAATAGGCTTGAACAAGCCTATATATAGAATAAATCCAAATAATTAATATATTAATTATAGATGAAAAATCGTTTGCCCTTCCGCTTATCAGCCACAACCAAAATTTATTTTTTTTCTAAACTTATAGAGTTGATTTTGATTTTTATCATATTTTATTTTTAGTATTAGCTTTTAAGTTACTAAGAACACACATATACAGAAGTTTTATGCATTAATTAATTTTTTTTTGCGAATCGAATGTAGCTTAACTGATTAGATTCTTTTGGTGAAACCAGCCCACCCAAATTCAAATCCTAGATTATTTGACATGGGTTCTCACATTTACGTCTAATTATTATTTTTTAATGGTACTTGCGTTTGTAATGTTAAAAAAATTATTTTTAAGTCGCTGATAATCAGGCCAAACGATATAGCACTACTACAAGCTTGTTCGAGCCTATTTATAGAATAAATTCATCGATATGTGTATCCTTAAAATAACAGACAACTTCTAAAACCACCAGTAGTACGCGCCGCGGGAGGATGTGCTTAACTACCGAGATTGCATGTGATTCGATCCGTTTAAGATTCCCGAGCCCTCATTAGTTGGGTATTTTAGGTCATCACACCGTGAATCCAAACCTTGATGAAGGCTCCATCAGCAAAGAAATTGCTAGTTTAATTTTGTTGTACGACACAAGAACAAGTGGTCGATCGATTAGATTATTAGCACACATATCAGAGACAATGAACCAAGAGTGTAGTACGTACGTAGTACACCTCATATTGACCCGGCGATGTTTTTGTGGTACTAGTACTGCATCCC